ATTTTCTTCACAAAAAGGAACAAAATTTGGCGCAAGTGAAGTCATACTCAATAAGATGCTGAACTATTTTTGGGAGGGAGAGGCCTTTGTTTCCTTTAAAATCATTGGAGATTTACATACACTAAAACCTTATACTGGTAGGCAAAAATAAATCTATGGCTTTACTATTTTTCTTTCGTGACAGAAAAATATGCTTTCTACTCATGAATTATGTATCGCTTAGACTATGAAGACTCTAATCAAAACTGCCCAGGTTAAATGACATTCCTGCCATCTGAAGGCATACATCGGAAGGAATACATCATTTCTGAGCCTCAGCATTCAACTCTGAGGGGTGGAGGTAAAAATCACATGACCTGGGTGGAGGTAAAAATCACGTGACCCCCATCAGTTGCTGGAGACCACATGATCCTCACATTGCAGAGTGCAGCCCACTGAGGGCTGCATAGCAAATGCTTTATCGCATAATGTGTTCTCCAGTAGAGTTTTGCTCATAATTCACATTTAATTTGTTCATTCATTAAGATAAAGGCATTGAACTCACTGTACAGAAAACTGAGTTAAGCGACGAGACTGTGGAGAGAACAGGGTGGAAGGCAAGTTCTGTCATCTGTAGAGTTTCCTTCCTGTACCATTTACACGTGACCAGCACTGAGTGTCACCCCTTTACAGAAGCAGGAGATCGTGGTGATACTTGGGTCAGGTGGAGAGAGCAGTTTTAAGCCCTTCCTGTTGGCTTGCGCATTCATTATTTTTGACCCATCTCGCACAGAGCTCCCAGAACAGTTGCCGACAGGCCAAGATGGCCTTGCCAGCCACCTGCAGAAAGGACGCCATCGCAAGTCCTTCAGGGCAGATCCACTTCTTCTTCTCCTGTGCTCTCCTCTCTGGTCACTCCCCTGACATGTCTTGCCCCTGCCCCTCGCCACAAAAACACACCAAAGTTTGGAGTTCGTTTCAGCTATTTTGGACTAGTTCCTCATTCACAGTTAAGACTCTGGGATGGTCTCCTTAAGGACACATCCTAGGCACACATGTGATCCCACTAATTGGCCTATTATGGATTTTCCCATCACAACTAAGCTCTGTCTCATTCTACACTGGCATTAAAACTGAAATTGGAGCGGTTTTATTGAAAACTTGAGAATGGTGACTTGTGACTGAAATCCCAGCACCTTGGAGGCCAAGGCAGAGGCAGAGCGGAGAAACTGCTGTATGTTCAGAGCTGTCCTGAGCTACGCAGTGACTTCCAGGTCAACCGACACTGCAGTGGGAGACTTTTTTTTTTTTTAACTTTCCTCAATGAAAGCTATGCATTTTGAACACAGGCACCATGCCTCCTTTACATGCTAACCCCAGCATGGGGCATGCTTACCAACCAGTTCAGCACAGTTTCCTTCTGCCTATTGCAAAACACACAGTTTCTTCCAGCCATTTCTAAGCTCCCATGTTGATTACCTGGTAGATGACTCTAAGGTTAACTTTTAACCAGTCAGAAATACACAAATACTTCACATATATCACCTCAGTCACTTGTCAAATAGGAAGAGCAAATACTATAGTACCCCCTCTGCCCACATGACGTAGGCAGGTGTTTTAAGTTCAGGACCTCCCATGGTGCAGAGCCGATTTCCATTCAGGTTTTTATGATAAAATAAGATATAATTGCACAAGGAAAAAAAAAACTACTAAGAGATTAGGGGTGTCTAATGACTTAAGATTCAAAAACTTACACTTTCCTGGGTTTAACTCAGGTTGTGAAATCTCTGAAATCTTGGGCTAGCATTTGTAAGGTGCAGTCACCAGTAAGATCCAGGAGAGAAGGTGGATGTCGAGTTTTCTCCAGCTCACACCCTGAAATCCTTAGGCAGCATTTTGCAATGCTTGACATCCTTTTAGCTAAATAAAACAAGTCCCAAGTAAAACTTTCTATGTGACGTGTGCACAGGGGTCCTGGCAGAACGCCAACACTTGTGCAAACCAAGGTGTTAGTATTAATCCACACTCCCCATACCTACACCTACACACGCGCTTCTGGAACCTGCTCCATCTCCGCCACCGAAACTCTGTTATTTTGGTAATCATTTTCTGACCATCATCACCTAGCTCGTGAGAAAATCACATTGGCATTCAGACTTGTACATACATACACACACACACACACACACACACACACGCCTGTTCTTCATCACCTTCAATTAAGTATAATGCTTCCACAGTTAACTCTGACTTAGATGACTGTAATAACTCCTGAATTACAGTCTTACTTTTGCCCTTGATCCTCGAATTTTATTTCTAATACATGAGCCAGAATGAGCCCGTTACAAACTAAGCTAGGCTATGTCACCTGGGCTCCTGCCCTCAAGGGAAGATAAGGCTTTCCTGATCCTTCCCCTCCAACCCCTTGGAAAATCCCCCATCTCATTGGATGGCCAAGCCTTCCTCCTGCTAACTGCTTTCCGCTGTGCATAGCAGGCACACTCCCAGGCCCCAGCCTTTGAACTCACCTTTCTTTGGTCAGAACACCCTTCCCCAGCACCCACAGGGTTAACTGGCTCACCATTTCAGAAAAGATTCAAAAGTCACTTCCTGACAAGAGCCTTCCTTAGTCACGCCATTGAAAGTATTTCTTTTTAAAAATAATTTTCTGTCCTCTCTATTTGAGAGGAGGTTAGAGATTTCAGAGCCTACATAATCTCCAGAGACCGAACCGGGGGTGGTACACAAGAGCCACGTACTGAAGAAATGTGAAATTTGTTACTAAGGAGTGCCCCTCTCCTCTATTGATACTTCTAGTTGTCAGCGACAGATCTCCCAATCCTTAGCTGAGACAAAATCTACTTTGTAGTCTCAGTGTATTGGTGAAATTTCAATCAGCAGAGCAGGCGACTTCCAACTTTATGATGCTGAGACCGGTTTCAAACACAGGACATCAGACACAGAGCATGAAAGCTCTGTTATCTGTGAGCTCACGCACACCATAGCCTCTCTCCTAGATCACCCGTGGGCCAGGCATGGGTCTCTATTTTCTAAATGGAGCACGAAATCTTATTCAAGTCCAATGTTCACATACTCTGACAGGATAATTTTGAACTCAAAACCACCAGTATCAATTTGCATGGAGACGTCTCTAAATGAATATTTTAACACGTACGTGAAACAAACCAATTCAAACATTTAAAATGTTCATTGCGACTCTAAAATTAAGGTTCTTCAATGGCACATGGAATATTTTTTTTTTCTCACTAGGTAACAAAAATGAGATATGGCCAGAAAATGGGGAACAGATGGGAGGAAGTATACTGGTCAACTGGAGCTCTCTTTCTGGCCAGAGAAATAGAGAAGTATCCTAACCTCTAACCAGTAGACACTTGAATGCACACCTACACCCGGACCACCACCACCACCACCACCACCATCACCACCACCAGCAGCAAAACCTTTGAAAAACTCTTTGCAGACATCAAAGTATCAACCATTTTCAAAATTCAATCACTTTTCTAGAGTCAACAATACAAGGGACAGTTGAGTTCTTGGTTATTGTGTCTCCACTCCCTAAACCCTTCCCCAAGACCACACATATTCAGCTACCTGGCCAGACTCTCTGCTTCACTGTGGTGGTCACAATGTAACAGGCACATGTCTGTCACACATTAGCAGGTACAGGAAGAGCTGGGAACCATCCCCCCAAAAGAAACAAGCAAACAACAACAACAACAAAACTACTCTTACTTTCTTTCATCAAGTAAACTCAGAAATGAAATGGCCTTTAGTCTGGACCGAGAGTCCTTGAATCTTTTCCACAGTAATTGGCGGCAGAGGGGGTGGGGAGATGAGGTCTCCGGGCTTTAGTCTCCTATGCCTTCCCACTTCTTTGTCTCTTGGTCTGACCTCATAAATTTAAAGTTTGGTGCCTGTCTCTCAGGCTGCTTTTCAAATTGGTGACTACATGAGAGTGATCTGGGCACCTCCAAAATGTCACTCTCCAAGCGATGCAGACAGAGCGATTATTTTCAGTTCTGTAAACACATAGGCAACATACCCCAGCCCACATCTGGCTAAGCTAGGCTTGTCCACGCTGGCAATTACTGTGTTTGAATTAAAGATGCCCTGGGCCACCTGCCTTGTGGCTGCAACAAGTTCCCTCTTTTTTATCCTATTTATCCTCACAGTCATCTGTTTGTGTCAAGAGAAGAAACACAGGAGCACAGCATCTGTTACTAGAGCCACAAAATCACCGAATACTTCTATAAGGGAAGAACTAGGCAATAAATCCAGATGACTTGTCAGGTGCTTAAGGAGCGAGCGTTCCTCTTTCAATCACAGTGCCTTGTTTAAGCTGAGCATATGTTGAGAACAGCAGAGTCATCAGCTCAGCTTAGTCTGTGACAGGGCCAGGCACCACACAAATGTCACCTCTTCCGCCCTGCCAGAGGAAAGCAACCCCCCCCCCCCCCCCCCCCCCCCCCCCCCCCCCCCCCCCCCCCCCCCCCCCCCCCCCCCCGCCCCGTGCGCCCCCTACCCCCACCCTAAGCACGTCTATAATGAAACAGGTAACAGGTTAAAGACACTTCCCTATTGGTTACTTTACTCTGCGGCATGTAAGCTCAGAATTTAATTCCGGGGTGGGGAGGGGAAATCTAACTTTCTCTGGCAACTAACTCTGAGCTTATCCGCTGGGATAGCTCCTGGGTGTCTTTCTGGATGCAAGTAACGGGTCTATGTGGTCCTACTACATTAACCTCGTTGCTTTGTTTAAGTCTTTAGACTCCGGGGAGGAAAGAGGGAAGACGGGTGGGTGTTAGAGGCTGAGAGACCACACTATAGGCACACCTAAAGAAGGATGCCGACAGTCTTTTTAGACAAGCCTTGACAACTCCCACAGCCCCAGAATCTGACAATTGGTCCCAACTCATGCCCAGACCTGCTGCTTGGATCCAGTCCCCCTTGTTCCCCACCGTGCACCTAGGTGAGCTGCGCCAGAGCGCCAGTCCCCTTACCTGCCAGGCTGCCCGGCCTCTGGAGGGTGGCCGTGGCATACAGTTCCTGCGAATGCTTGCTGTACTGCTCGGACGCGTGGACCAGGCGCTTGGTGGGCGACAGGGTGGCGTAGGTGCCGATGGTGGAGCTCAGCTGGTGGATGGGCGAAGAGGAGATGGTGGACTGCACGGTGGGGGGCGAGGTCACGCGGATCGGGGACAGGCCGGCCGAGGACACGACGATGTTGATGGGCGAGCTGGTGCTGTAGGACTTGGCCAGGCGGCTGGGCGACTGCTTGGGCGAGGAGCCTCGCGGCGCGGCGTAGGCGGCACCCTCAGGGGCCGAGCCTCCGCGCTGCAGCTTGGTGGGCGAGCCGCCCTGCGTGGCGGTCAGCGGGGAGCCCCCGCGCGGCGGCGCTGGCAGCGTGGAGCTGGAGTAGTAGAGCGCGGCGGCGGCGGGCGGCGCGTCGGGCAGGTGGAAGGCGCTGCCCAGGCTGGGCGCGAACGGCTCCCGCGGAGGCGGAGGTGGCGGTGCAGGCTCGGACCCCGCCAGGTGCCCCGCGCGACCGGTCGTGCCCTGTTCCGGGAGAGCAGAGAACACGCGCGCTCAGTGCTGGAGAGGCAGCCGCCCACCCGCCCCGCGCGGCTGCAAAGGACAACTTCTGCGCCCAGAGCCGCGGGAAAGGCAGGCTCCAGGAGGAGAGGGACGCGAACTCACGCCCAATCTAATTCCTTTCCAAGGAGAAAGGAGCGGGTTAGTTAAGGCAGGCTGACAAAGGGCAAGAGGCAAGCCTCTGCTCAGCATTCCAAGAGGTTTTAGTCACAGTGAAAAAAAAAAAAAATAAAAAATTAAAGGCCACCCAACCGGTGATCGCCCAGAACGCCCTCCCTATCTGGCAGTTTTAATGAAAACTCCAGGCATTAAATGCTCCCATTATTTCGAGAGACATACTTTCAGTCACCAAAAACTGACTGAACCGCATCTTAGATGGAGGACATAGGAGATGCACTTCTTAGAATTTATTCTGACGCCTTACCGTTAAGACTCTTTGCGGGGGGGGGGGGAGTTAAACGGAGGGAGAAATGCTACCTCACAAGAGTAAGCTTGGTTTTTCAATATCAAAAAAAAAAAATCTAGAGGAAACAGGTCAATTAAAATTGAAATGACAAAAAGCGCTTCTCTTTTCTGGATTTTAAAAGTGGACTCTAGAAGGCTCAGTCCGTGGCCTCTTCAGCAGGCTCCTAGGAGCCCCTGCAGTTGCCTCTTTCAACTGAAAGCCAGTGGCTTTCCAGCACTTAGAACAAAAAAGACAAGGGCTGGGGTGGAGTTAGATCACCGAGGGGAAAGGTGGTTTCCCTGAATAGTGCTGAGATAGATTTGCATCACAATGAAAGCCCCACAGGGCCAACCACTTCTGGGAAGAAAGTCTTGATCCTTCAAGCTTCCCCTCAGGGGACCAGAAAAGGTCCGGGAGTCCCTGGTGTGTGAAATGCTAGTAACATTGCTCCCCGTGTTGGAGAAGCTGGAAAAGAAGGCTTGGGAACAAAGACTTCTGTTTGGGCTGGGAAGAGAGCAAGGAGCTGGAGGGAAGGGGGGCAGAAGAGATGGTACGTGCTCTCTATAGAACATTTTAGTTGTGTCTCTGCCCTTTGGGATGGCATTTGGCAAGTGGGAGGCTGGGCACTTGGTCTGCACACACACAGCATTCCCAATTGTGGCTGGGATGTTAGGAGGAACACTGAGGGCTTAGCTGGACAGCATCAAGTTCCTCTACTAAGAACAAGTTGGGATTTGGGGCGACATCTCAGGTATCTCTTGCCTCAGGAGCTTGAGGAGTCCAGGTTGATTCCTAAAACCCACCTTTAAGGAGGGACAAATGGGGGTCCTGCTTACAAGGGAGCTGGACAGTTTAAGCATCCCTGGAGCTCACTGGCCTGCCAGCATAGCTTCTTGCGGATAGTTCAGGACCAATGAGAGACCGTGTTTGTGGTGGAAAGGTGTACAGAAGTCAGGGATTGACACTTGAGGCTATCTCCTGTCCTCGCCCCAACCTAGGCACAGGCCACATGCACAGGCGTAGACACACATTCACACTTATATGCACACTCTAAACACAGCTTTGGGTGAGGGAGAAAACCATTTGTTAAGAGACATTCGCAGTGGAAGGTGTATGTGTGTATTTCTCTCTCACACATTTGTTTATATACTATGTGTATGCTTAATATGAATTTCATAGGGGCATTATGTATCACCAGCTGAACTGGAATCATTTTAGCTTAACAGTAAAAGCAAAAGCAGAAGGCAAGCCCCAAGTGTGTGCTCGAAAATGTCTCTCTAGCCACCACAGTAGGACCTTGTCCACAAAGGACACCTTGGTAGCAGTTGCTGCGCACATGAAGGAGGGGTTCGCAAGCTTGGCGCATGGCTTTGGCCTTGACAGTTTTAAGGACTTACAAGCTCTGCAGAACTCCCTCACCACCCCGAGTCCCAGGGTTGTGGTCCAGTCTCACCCAGAGAAGCTTGGAGAAGAATGGAACGTAACATCCTAAATCGAACTGTAGGTGCAAATTGCCAGAGGAACTTCCAATACATTTTAGAGCTGCCATGACTTACCCTAGACATTTAATTCAGAAACATGAAGGTAGGACCTAAGCGACAGGGAAGCCATCCACTTCCCAGGAGATTTCAAAGCCCAACACACACGAGAACCACTTCTTAGAGCTGTCATTTTTCAGAAGGTGCTGTGTATCCTTGAACAGAATAGGAACCCTGCTGGAAGCCAAGCTCCCTCTGTTTGGACAAGCTCTCTAGATGACTGAGTCACCACCAAACACTGAGAACCACCAATGGGAGACCATCTGGTTCTGGGGGTCTGAAGTAGGTCCTGGAGCTAGGATTTCTAAAAGTCTGCCAAGGGAGGTAGACAGCACTGATCTAAAAAAAAAAAAATCTGACAAGCACATAGACAACTTCCTTCTGAGGCCCTGCTATGTTTGTTGACCAGGATCTCTGCACCGTGGTACCCAGCTAGTAAGTGGTGGGAGAGCTTCATACAGGAAGATAATGGTGGGAAAATAAGGTTTAGGGGAGCGCCCTGCTTACAATAAAACACTTTGCTATGTCTTCTATGGCACTAATAATCACCCTCGAATACATTACTGATGGCATTACACTGCATAATTCTTTAATAAATACTGACAAATATAATTAATTGAGGTGCAGCTGCTGTTCCTTTTTGCGGCAGATGGAAGTTGATATGGAGACAGACAACTAGGAAGAGTGTAAAGAATAAGTCATTGTGACCCTCTTAGCTCTCAGCTGTGCGGGACCCATCTTCTCTCAAAGCTCGGGAACATCATGGAAGAACGAGCAAAAGATGGTAAGAGTCAGGGAGTAGGGAGGAGCGCTCTGCAATTGTGTCTTCTGGACTCTCCAGGACCATTGCAACAACAGGTGGCTGCCTGCAGAAGACCTTAGTAAGCTAAAGTCAGTCCCTGCACAAATGGGACCTTACATCCAAAGGTTCCACCCAGGAGATTTGCTGAGGAATGGAGAATCTCTTTGCTTTAGGGGTGTGGCCCTGGGAGGCTGTCTATGCTCCCGTGGATGACCATATATTCATGCCCATACAGACAGCACTAATTGTACAGGTTGGATTTCAAAATAAGAAGAGGACATGAAGTTGGATGGAGTATGTTGGGGTCTGAGAAGAGTAGAGGGCAAATAAGGACCGGGAGTGAGGGGCATGTGTATGATTTTAAAACAGTGTATGCACGTATGAAATTCTCAAAAGATGCATACTTTTTATGTGTCTTTTTACAGTAGATAGAGGCTACTATAAAGACCCACAGCTAGTGAATATTCATAGCATTAATGACTGTGTTTTCCTAGCCCCACTTGGTACATTACAACGCAGCCCCTATACTTAGGGTTCAAGGATCATTGCTGAAGAGGAGAGGTGAGATCTTAAGAGCCAGGGCACCAAGACAAGGCATCTACTGGGAGATATTGTCTTTTATATGTGAGAGGGATGCTGCACCAATGAAATCTAAACAATGTGGCTGCCTAAACATGATCTGCAAAGTGATCACACAAGTTGACGTCCCAACATGTCAACGCGGATAGAGGAAATCTCACAAGGCTCCAGCCCTAGATGAAGACCTACAGGCTGCTGAGAGAGGAAGAATCAGGTTTCTCCAAGGGTGAGCTCCCCGAGTGATGGTGCAATCCCAAGTGGTCATCCCTAAATAATACTTGTACATACCCTGGACGGACTTGGCTCCTGCTCCGCCCCCCCCCCCCGTGTGTGTTTGTGTGTGTAAGACAATTCTAATTAAAGAAGAAGAGGCCATAAATTTAAGAGGTGACACATGGGAAGAGTTGGAGCATGGAGGGGGAGGAGTAGAAATAATGTACATGCAACTCACTTGTATTTTTGATAAAAATAATTTTAAAAGGAACTAACTCAATTAATAAGCTGATTAACTAATAAAGTAGGAAAATTAGTCAATATCTGTGCGTTTGAATGATGTGTGAGCCAGGAAAGGTATGGTTTGCACACACCTTCCCTTTCTGTTGGTCTTCTGGAGTGTCTAATCTGAAGAGTTCTAATTCTGTTGAATGTTAATCATAGCTTCCTCAAATGGCACCCAATTCAGTAGAAATTTTGGAAAATGCCATATTACCTCTAGACATTTTGAAAGCAAAGGTGTCCAACTCAAAAATAGGCATATAGAAGGATTTTAGGGAGATTTTTGGAGTTTTTAACAAGGAGAAGGGGAAGGAGAAAGAGGCGATGGCATTTTGCATTCTCTGAAGCAGTAAGTCCTGCTATTCACTGTGCACTGAAATGAGAATTTAACACAGCCTGCTGTTTCCATTTGTGTAAAAGCCTCTATCACTTGGCCTTCCCAGGATGCCAGCCTTACTAGTACCTGTTGAGCTGCATGGCCATGTACAGGGCAGTGTCCTAACTGGTATGTCCCTGTACGGCTGCCACTAGGTGGACAAGCTCCCTGAGTGCTTCAAATGCTGCCCGTCAGCTGAAGATCTGTTTACCATACATATGATTAATCTCAATTTACATAGTAACATGTGACTGGAGACTACCTTATTGGGCTGCACAGCTGCACAAGCCCATCTTCAGCTCGTGACAAATGGTCCAGAGGTGCTGTGGTCCATCACAGAGGCTGATGGAGTAATAAATGTCTAAGAACAGCTCATCATTTGTGCAAAAATGGGGATCTGGGAGCATGTAGCCACTTCTGTTTCATTGCATAAATTCATTTAGTAACTCTTCACCAGTTTGGGAGCCATAAGGCTGCAGTTCAAACCCACTTCACAGTTCATAGGATGGTTTATTATAACCACTGTTGAACTGAAAACAATACACAATAGATGCCAAAACCCTAACCCACTCCTCTAGGGGTTCAGCTGTACCTCAAGCATGAGTTGTACACTAATTATGTAGGTCTACTTTTCAGATTAGATTTTAGCCAGAATTTGATGTTTTAAAAATTAAGGCCTGAGACCCCTTTTATAGTGATGTTTGTAAGCAATGATAATGGAAAGAAGTG